TTTTTTTGAGGCAGAGTCTGGCTCTGTCGCCCAGGCTGGAGTGCAGTGGCATGATCACAGCTCACTGCAGCCTCCACCTCCTGGGCTCAGGTGATCCTCCCACCTCAGCCTCCTGTGTAGCTAGGACTGCAGGTGTGTGCCATCACACCTGGCTTAGGCATACAGATTGAAAGAACCTTTCAACTGGGATAGGAAGGGTGAGCTGCATACTATGTCACCCTTCACACAGCTATACCTCCAGAAGGGCAGGAAAAAAAACAAAACAAAACCGTACATCCAAGTCACACAGACCCAGGTTGAAATTCCACCTTTCCTACTTTCTAGCTCTGTGGTTCTAGGTAAATGATTTCAACTCTGTGAGCCTTGGTTTCCTTCTCTGTAAGTTGTGAATAATTATACCTACTTCACGGAGCTGTTCTGAGGATTAAATAAAATGTGCGAACCTTCAGTACAACTTCCATTGTGAAGAGAGTGCTCTGTGGGTGGTGCTGGTGGCTGTTATTAATCTGCAGTCTATGTGCTCATATCCCTCTTCCTGCAGGGAGTTCAGCAGGCCAACTGGAGAATTGCTTGGTGAAAATCTCCACACATTTGGTCAGAAAGTGTTCTGTGTTAGACAGTTTAGTAGAAATAAAAATTTGTATTTTTTTTTCTGTGAAAAAAAAAAAATGGATGTGAGGTTGACCGCGAGTGCCCAGCTTGCTGCCCTCTGAGCCATGAAGACATGGGTTGAGGTTTTGGAGCGTAGTATGCATTCTCAACCTTAACTGTTCATTAACATTAAAATTACCCAAAGAGAGGGCCGGGTGTGGTGGCTCACGCCTGTAACTCCAGCACTTAGGGAAGCCAAGGTTGGTGGATCACCTGAGGTCAGGAGTTCAAGACCACCCTGACCAACGTGGTGAAACCCTGTCTCTACTAAATACAAAAAAATTAGCTGAGTGTGGTGGCGGGTGCCTGTAATCCCAGCTACTTGGGAGGCTGAGGCAGGAGAATTGCTTGAACCCAGAAGGTGGAGGTTGCAGTGAGCCAAGATTGTGCCATTGCATTCCAGCCTGGGCAACAAGAGCAAAAACTCCATCTCAAAAAAAAAAAAATTTCCCAAAGAGACCAAGGGCTGGCTCATTCCCCCAGAGATTCTGTTGGTATTGGTCTCTGTTGGTGTTGGTCTCGGTTGGTATTAGTCTTGGTTGGTATTGGTCTCCTCTGTTGGTGTTGGTCTCTGTTGGTATTAGTCTTGGTTGGTGTCAGTCTCTGTTGGTGTTGGTCTCTGTTGGTGTTGGTCTCTGCTGGTGTTGGTCTCTGTTGATATTAGTCTTGGTTGGTATCGGTCTCTGTTGGTGTTGGTCTCTGTTGGTGTTGGTCTCTGTTGGTATTGGTCTCTTCTGTTGGTGTTGGTCTCTGTTGGTGTCGGTCTCTGTTGGTGTTGGTCTCTGTTGGTATTGGTCTCTGTTGGTGTTGGTCTCTGTTGGTATTGGTCTCTTCTGTTGGTGTTGGTCTCTGTTGGTGTTGGTCTCTGTTGGTATCGGTCTCTGCTGGTGTTGGTCTCTGTTGGTGTTGGTCTCTGTTGGTGTTGGTCTCTGTTGGTGTTGGTCTCTGGTGGGGCAGCCATTGTTTCCAAAAGGCCTCAGGTGATTCTAAGGTGCACTCAGGGTGGAGGTCGCTGGTGTTGTGAACAGAGTCCCAAACTAGGAATCAGGAGGCCTGGCTCTGACACCAGCCCCGGCCCTCACTTGCTTGTGATTTTGGGGAATTAATGTCCTCCATCTATGCCTCAGTTTCCCCTCCTGTGAAATGAGGGCTCTGAGCTACAATGATCTCTCAAGTCCTCTAAAGTCTAACGCCACTCCAGCCTCTTCATAGTTCAGCATCAATGATTGATGAGGAATAGGCCAAAGCGACTCACCTGATAGTATTTTTGCTCCTCACTGAAGGCCACCAGGATGACAGAGACAAACAGGTTCAGCACCACAAATGTCATAAAAACGATGCAGGACCCAATGAGGAAGGAGCCAAGCACTGGGCTATAGTCCAGGACCTGTCAGAAAGAAAGCCAGGGTCATCGAGTGTCCTGGGTCCCAGCAGCCACTTCCCCTACTGGAAAACCCTCAGAGGGAAAATGGTCCTCAGAGCTAGGCAGAGCCTGGAGCCAGGAAGGTCCCCTCTGCCTGGGGCTGAGAGAGCTGGGCAAGGAGGGAATGGGCAGCCCCTCACTTTCCATGGCTGCCACCTCTAAAGACGGCTGCCCTTTCTGCCCAGGGTAGGGGCTGTTTCCTTTGGGAGACCCCTCTACAGCCCTCCCCTGAGTAGCCAGTGCCTGATGTTCCTCTGTGAGCAGGGGTCCCAAGGGCAAGCTGAGGGCTCTAGCAGGGGTGTCCACCTAGGGGACAGGGAGCATTTCTGTTTGTCCAAACTTGCCCGATGCTTGCCAGGTCATGGGCCCAAGGGATGGCACAGGGTGGGGTGGGCAGGGAGTGCTTTTTCTCATCTTCATAGAGGCTCAGTGTAGATGGCAGCACCTGTGCCCTCACCCCATTACCTCCTCGTAGTTGAAGATTCCCAGCTGAAGGCTGATCATCGTCTCTGCCGCATCAAAGAGGGTTTTGTAGGAACGGAGTTTCCAACCAAACATTAAGTTCGACTGTCATGGAAAGAATTCTCATGAACAGGGAAGGAGGCTGCCAAGGAGCACAAAACCTGCTGTTTCACAGTAGGGTAGGTAGTCTGTGTCAGCCACAGCCCTGGCCGGGCTGGTCAAGCCACTGTACCTAAAGGAGTGTGCAAGTGGGTGTGCGTACACAACTGGTTTTTGTTTGTGAGACGGAGTCTTGCTCTGTCACCCAGGCTGGAGTACAATGGTTCGATCTCAGCTCACTGCAGCCTCCGCCTCGTGGGTTCAAGCGATTCTCCTGCCTCAGCCTCACAAGTAGCTAGGACTACAGGCACGCACCACCACGTCTGGCTAATTTTTATATTTTTCATAGAGACAGGGTTTCTCCACGTTGGTCAGGCTGGCCTCGAACTCAGGACCTCAGGTGATCCACCCGCCTTGGCCTCCCAAAGTGCTAGGATTATGGGCGTGAGCCACCGCACCTGGTCCACAACTGGTTCTATATGGCATGCATGTGTTTCTCTCTGTGGGTCTGTGCGTGCAAGGCCACATGTGTGTCTGTGTGAGAGTGTACATGTATATGCCTGTGGCCATCAATATCTACACATACGCACTTGTGTGTATGTATGTGTATACATGTGTATGTGTGTATCTATGTGTATGTGTAGTGTATGTGTGTGCATATGCATGTGTATATGTGTATTGTATGTGTGTATCCATGTGTAGTGTTTGTGCGCATATGTATGTGTGTATATTTGTATGTATGTGTTTATGTGTGCATGTGTGCATGTGTGTATATATGTGCATGCCTATGCACGTGCATGTGTATGTGTATACGTGTGCATGTGTGTATGTGTGTGCACATGCGCATGCGTGTGCATCCATGTGCATGTGTGTGCATGTGTGTGTGTCATGTTTCTGGAAGTGCTGCCTGGATGACCTCGTCCAGGACCTTTGCTGTGTCCACGGCCTGTTGATGATGCCCACCTTTGTGTGCATCAGGATGAGGGAGTGCCCAGGGTGCCTCTGGGACTCACGCAGGCACCTGCTAAGCCACCTGGCTGTGTTCCCCAGATGTGGCCCAAATACCTGGCAATGAAACTGGGCACTCTGCGGCTCCAAATTCTTCGTTCTGGGGAACTGGGTTGAACGGATGATGGGCTTCTGCCTGGGGGAGGCCCTCCCCCCACCGCATTTTCCCTCACCACAACTCCCCACTCCCAAGACTTTCCCAGGGCTGCGGTGTCAGAGGGAGGCCCAGCAACCCTTGGCTCTGGCTCTGAGTTGGTGACTTTTGGTCCCATGGGACACTGCACTGTCCCTGCAGCCCAGACACTGCATGGAGGGCTAAAGAAATCCACATTAGGGTTTAGACGGGAGCTTTCACCAAAATCACAGACTCCAGCTTTCCAGAACTCACCCCCATCACTCCCTCAGTGCACTCCACCTGTTTCCGAGGGTGGGAGAGGAAGATGGGGTGGCGCCGGGGATGGAAGGCGGTCAGGGCTGAGGTGACAGAGAGGCAGAGCTGGGTGAGGGTTGGGGTGGAGTGGGGACTAGAATGTGATGGGCTGGTGGATGGGATGATTGGGAAGGAGTGGAAGGCAAGAGACGGGATGGAGCCAGGGTGAGAATGGGGAAGGTCCTGGGGTAGGATGTGGGCCAGGATTGTGCTAAGGGCCAGAGATGAGTGGAAGGCTGGGGCTCGCATGGCAACACGGTGGGCAGTACGGGGCGTATTTAGAAGGACATCAGGAGGTGGTGGAGGCCAGGATGTAAGAGGGTCTTTGTGTCTCACATTATCATAAAAGATAATTAAAAATTTAATGTTTTTGGCTGGGCACGGTGGCTCACGCCTGTAATCCCAGCACTTTGGGTGGCTGAGGTGGGC